ATTTGTTCTGCCTGGGCTGTTCTGTCATACTCAAGTGAGAAGGTGATAAATCCTCCCCTGTGCCTCTGCTAATGCAGGAGAGTGGGAGGACCAAAAGTTTCTCCTGCTGGTACCAAGACAAGGGGATTTCAGGAGAAGCAGGGCCCACCAGGGCTGTGGGTTATTCCCTCATGTCATGTTCACTGATGCTCTCTGAACCCTGCAGTGGTACTGCCTCCTCCTGATCCTCAGCTGGTGCTTTGTCAGCACGTTCCTTTATCTTGTTCACCTTAACACATTCGCATTCTTACTCAAGTTCACCCTAATTTCTGTCTGGGCTGCATGAAGACAACTGCATCTCAGAGGAACCTTGATCTTTTTGGAAACATGTTCACAGCAAGCAGTTTCCTTGCAGCTTTACTTGGCCTCAATCACAACCATTACTGTGTTTCTCATTTCTCGAGTCCTCCTTGTTGCCAGCTTGTCCTGTCAGGCTCAAAGTTCAGCCTAACACTATCTAGATATTAATCTCATCTATTTCCCTGGCATTTCCAGATGGGACAAACCTGACCTCCAAGAACACCTCTGTTACTAGTGAAGGCTCCAGCACAATAGCTGTGTACAGCACCAATGGGATTCCTGCTGATGGGAAGGCAATGCCAGAGAACTTGGTGGATGCCTTGGTTTACATGTATGAGCCTGTCACAGCTGGAGGACCCTTGGGCTTCCTTGGGTCATCTAACATTGTGCCCTGCAGGGGTGACAGCTGAGGTTACTTCTCTAGGAAAGTTTGGGGTGTGAAGAGGGAGCAATAGGTTAATGAAATGCAGGGGCAGGTATTGTGTAGCTTGGAAAACTCTACCCTGGAGGACAAACTCTTAGGTGTGGGAGTCTGGCTGTAATGAGGCAGAAATCTTACTCCTGCAGAAGCTAGTCAGACCAATTAAGCTTTCTCTGTCCAAGCTCACATATTATCCAGCTGGAGGGGTAGGCTGGACCTATCTCTACGATGGCTCTGTGAAAGCTGGCTTCAGCTCCAGCTTCAGTTCCAGCTCCCGCCAACTCTCCATCATCCAGCGCCAGGAACTGGGGCCCAGGGTGGGATTTAGAGGTGGGACAAAGGTGTTCAACATGTATGTGAGTTTTGACTTTTCTGGGGACAGGCCCGTGTCCCTGAGCTGCTGTGGCAATGCCAGCACAGGACTGCAGTTTGCCTTGTCAGAGCCTTCTCCTGGGCTGTGGAACAGCTGTCCCCAGCACACCTTCGTCACAGATCTCCACCTCTGCTTCCTCACACCCAGTGAGTGGACCAGGGTATCCCACCAGGCTGGGGTGGGAGGACTGGGACAGGGGCTGACCTCAGCTTTCCATGGCGTGGGAGAGGGGCTTTTGGGCAGCCTTCTGCTGTGAAAGGGGATGCACTGGGAGAGAACTGGTACACACCAATGTGTGGATGTGGGGCTGCCAGCCCAAGAGAACACCTGCACCTACAGCTCCAACGTGGGCTTGTATGGACTTGGAACAGGCTGCCCAGAGAAGCTGTGGCTGCCCCATTCCTGGAAGTGTCCAAGACCAGGTTGGAGGAGCTTGGTGGAACCTGGGACAGTGGAAGGTGTCCCTGCCCATGGCAGTGGGTGGGACAAGATGAGCTTTAAAGTCCCTTCCAACCCAAACCATTCTATGATGATTCTGTGATATCAAGGTGGCCACGTATTTCATTTGAGTTGTCTCTGCTCAGGCCAGGCTGAGCCCTGATCTGTCACCCTGTTCTTTTAAAAGTTCTTTTAAAAGTTTTCTATACCTTCTGATGTTTACATATTTCTACTAAAGTTTCTCACGCACTGTCATGTAAATAATAATTGTTTTACATTCTTTGTAGGAAGAGAGAATTGATAGACTGTTAGTTTAACCAGTGTAGTTAGAGAAGTAGCAATTTCATCTTCCAATCCACTATCATTTTTAGAATTCTATGCATTGCAAAGTCAGAAACAAAAGTTACTTCCTTTTACTCTTTTAATCTAAGTGTGCTTGCGTGAGTTATTTCATGTCATAGTGTGACACTGATCAGGATATCTTTCTGCAGGGTTACATTTACATGCTCCACGTCTCTCATGGTGGTGGGGGCAGTCAGGGAAACTGCCAGCACACCCTCCAATCTCAGCCCATCTGTGGAAACCAATTCCTGTGTCTCAGTGCTGACCCAGAGTCAGGAATGTACAGGGAGATGTAAATGTACAGGAGGGTCTCCAGCCTCTGCAAAGACTACACTTGGATCAGCATGCCAAGATCTGGCAAAATGGGAATTCCTCTTCCATCCTTCTGAGAGGGGCAAGAGTGGGTGTCTCCCTCCTCTCCCAGCATAAGAGACTGCTCTGTCCTGGCCCTCGTGAGATGAGGAACATGCCCCTTCTTCACTCACCTGGGAGGCTGTCAAAGGAGCCAAGCTGGTGTACAGTGGTAGAAGGCCAGAAGTAAAGACTCACCTGGCAGGAGAGGGCAGAGAAGAATGGGAGGCAGAGGAGGGTGGGATGAAGCCAAGTGTTTTGGAAGGGACACATAGCCAGGAGCTTACTACCAGTCCTGAACTGCACCCAGAAAAAACACATATCCTCTTTCCCTAGACTGTTCCATGTGAACCCTGCACCACAGGAGGATGCTGAAAAGTCTGGAGAGGGTGTTGGTGAACTCCTTGGAGGAGGAGTGTTCCTCCAGTGTCTCTGACCTCTACCTGCAAGGTTGATACTCAGCTCTTTGTGCCCAGTTCAAGTGCCCTCTTCCCTTGTAATTGCTCATCCACAGCTGCCTTATCAGGACAGTCCCTGCTCCAGCCCACCCTGCAGGCTGGCACTGGAGTGAGGGGACCTTGAGGATCAGTGGTGGGCACTGGGATTTCAGTGAGGGGAGCAGGAGACAACCTGACCTGGGCTCCTCTTGAGGCCAAGCTGGAGTGCCCCATGAGGAATGGCAGTCTTTGCTGATCCTTGTGGGGTCTGCCAGACAAACCTAAACTCACAAAGCAAACAGCCCTTTGCAGTCCAGAGGATTCTGCTTCCCAACTCTTGCATTTATTCAAAGTACCCAGACCAAACAGTCACTTCTGGAAGCCTTAGGGACTACAGCTTTTGAAGGATAGGAAAAAATGTTTTCTGGGTTTTGGCTGGATTTGTAAGGAAGAGAAGACTTTGCTGCCATGCTCTGTCTCCCTAACCCAAATGCCTTTTTGACCAGTTGAACAATTTCAGTCAATTCTGACTAGTGGGTAGACGTACAAAGCGCAGTAAAAAGTATTCTGTTGGATAGGATGATGACCTCAAGTCCCTTTTGTGACCAAAAGAAAAGTTGAGCATGTGCCCAAGTTACCCGTGATGCAGCACAGCAGCATGATTTCAGAGCAGGGGGGAGAGAAAGGTGAAGAGCATGAGCAGCAAGGCACAAAGTCATGGGAGCAGTATGATCCCTGACACCAGAGGGTTTCTGACCACCCAAAATGCGCTGTTGTTTCTTGGCAGAGCTTAACATGACCTGTGTGGACTCACTGGTGAATGTCTGGGCTCAGCAGGTGTGGGCTCAACAGTCAAGAACAGGAGCAGTCCATCAAAACCTGTCTCCAGGGATTCCTGGTCATCTCTTCTTCATGGATAGGAGACTTCTGAAAACCAGTCCCGAGTGCGTCACCCCCAAAAATATGCCATTCATGTCATACAGCGGTGGTAAGTAGGAGGGACTCTGCTTCCAGCACAGTCAGCGGGGCTAGGACCAGGGCTAGGTGACATCTCTACAGGAGAGGGCACATGTGGGCAAGCCACTGGCCTTAAGTGGGGAGTCTCTTGCTTTTGGACCTGTTGCTTACACAGTTGGGAAGCCCCAAGCAGCTACTGGCACCCAGGCTGGAACTGTCCAGAGCTGTGATGTCACAAGGGCTGCAACGGAAGAAAAAGAGTGGGAGGCTGAGACAGCCCAACCTGTTGCTGCCCAGAGAAGCTGTGGCTGCCCCACCCCTGAAAGTGTTCCAGGCCAGGTTGGGTGGGGCTTGGAGCAACCTAGGATAGCGGAAGATGTTCCTGTCCATGGCAGGGGATTGTACTAGATGGCCTTTAAAGGTTCCTTTCAACTCAACCCAACCCAACCTGGCCCAATCCAACCCATTCTATGACTCTGATTGTGTGACCTCTTAGGGCCCCCAGTGCTGGGAAAGGTCATGGCTGTAATGCCTCTTCTATGCCTTTGTTGCCTCATCTTCCTTCCAGGGCTGGGAAATTTCCCTGTTTGTTATGGGATCTCTCCTGCTGCTCTTATTGTTTGTTGGCCTGGCTTTCTATTTCATCAAAAGTTGAGAAACCACCACGGTATCTGCTGTGCATCCTCCACCCTCTCCTTCCCCAGGGCCTCCTCTCTAAATGCTGCACAGAGACTGGCTCCTTCACTCAGCTACACGGCCTGCAGACTGTTCAACATGCTGCTCTGCATTCTTGCAGCAAAATCCCTACCTTTTCACAAAGCCCCTTTGTTTCTGACAGAGCAGACTGCAGGTTTTGCGGGAGGTTGAGATAACACCAGTAAATCCTGGATGATGCTGGGAGGATCAGCAGGTGCAGTGTAAGGGCCATCAGTGGCACTGACAACATGTTGTGGTGGGAGAGTAGAAAGCTGAAGGCATGTGGCACACAACAGATGATGCTGTGGCCACAGGGAAGAGCTCTTCCTTGGAGCAGGATGGAATTGACAAACACCTTAGGATTACCTGGGTGGGAAACACCTTCCACATTATAACATGACACCACATTAAATAATAACTTGGTGTTCCCTAATGTGGTCAGGAGGCAAACAGCAGCTGAACACTCAGGCTGTACATCTGTCTGAAATAAATGTTACAGTGGATGGTTATTTAACAAGCCCAGGTGATTTATTTTTATTAAGTTTTGCTGGGTTTTTTTTAGCACTGGATAAAGGGCTGATGTGCAAGAGTTAGAAATGAGGAAAGTTCTTAGAATACATTTGGGGAATAGAAAACCCAGTATATATATTGGTAGATACATTTATTTTTTTTAAATAATTTAAGAAATAGCCCAAGTCAGATTTAGGGAAGCTCTTTCAGAAACCAGCATGGTTTTATGTACATGTGCCAGGGAATAGCAGCTGTTCTGCTCCTGTTTTTCTCTGAAACTTTAACAGACATTAGGAAACTGTGACTGCTGAGTGCTGGTCCTCCAGCCTCTTCTTTTCAAACCTGAGGTGCAGATTAGCTGCCTTGTGCAAAAGAGCAGAGCAACTGATAATGTGTTTTTCTTCATCTGTTGCTTTTCAGATGTCCCCAAAATTACACCAACATCGAAATGAATGACTGCAGGCAGATGGCAGCAGATTTCTAGTTCTCTTGGGCACAGCCCTGGAGCCAGCAATGTGTCTTGGGGGAGCAGAGTGGGTGTCCTGCTCCCTCAAACACTGGGGCTGCTGCACAGACCTGCCCCATGCATCTACATCTGTGCATACGTGTACATCTCTATATGTGTGTCTGTGTACAAACACTTCAATTGGTTATTACTTTTCTTAATTTTGACCTTGGACTCAAAGAGACCTGAGAAAAAGGCTGGGAAATTCTCAAAGGCACAGGTTGTGCCAAGCGTGGTGCCCGTGCAGACAAAAGCCTGCTTGGCTGATGCAGAGGAAGAACACATACTCTGCCTCCTCTCAGGATTCACTACTGGGTGCTGAGCCAAGGCCACTGCCATCAGACCTTTCCTCCTGATAGACAAGGCCAGTCTCTGGTCCTTCTGGACTCCAGCCTCCCCTGTGCCCTTTTGGTCTGCTCTGCTAGAGCAGCTCTGCTCTAGAGAGAGCCCTTGCTACTGGGATCACAACAGAGGGTATCCTGCCCAGGGAAATTAGTTAGAGAGCTGAACACCCAGTTAATCAGCTCCTGCCAAGGTACAACTCTTACTGGTATGGTCCTGGTCCTGCCCATATCTTGCCAAGACAGTGGGCAGCACCAGTACCAGACTCCAGATCTGCTGGGTCTGTGGGGTGAGGAGGATGGAATCTCCTCAGTAAAGATTGTTTCCTACAAGTCTGATCTATTCCTAATGGTGCAGCACCTGATACCAAGCTCCAACAACATCGTGTGTGGAGTGCTGGTCTCACCTCATGAGTTTCTGCACCCTGTGCAGTTCTGTGCATGGTGATAGTGACCCAGACAGATCCAGCCTGCTCACAGGCCAGGTGAGGGGTAGGGAATATGTGGATACTGATCACACACTGGTTCCGAACCGTGGTGTAGACAGATTTTTACTGAACAAGGTTCTTTGGAGGCGAGGGCAAGATTGATCATCATGGCATTGATCCTCACGAGAAGGAAGCCTCCTGTATCCTTGGAGTCCCACCTCCCTGCTGGGTCCACATTAGCTTCATCTTCTCCTTACAGGCAACTGCCTTCTGCTGAGGTCCATGGGTCCCAGCCAGCTTCAGTGCCAGCCAGGATCAGCAGCACAGGAGGAGCAAAGCCTCAGCCTTCCACTGTCCAGCCTCTTGTGCCAGGCAGCGCCTTCCAGTCAGCAGGTCTGGGAACATGAGGTACCAGGGACCTTATCTGCTGGCTGCTGCATGTAATCCTTGAGCAGCCTCTGAGAGATGGTTCTTCCTCCCGGCTTCCTTAGCACAGCACTGCTGGCACACACAGGCCTTGCGGGAGCTCATATCAGCTCCATCTTGAACTGGCTGAAGTTTGCCATCGTGGGTGAGGGCTCAGCCATGCTGCTGAAGGGGCCGCAGGGCTGGGTGGCTGGCACAGCGCCGTGGCTCATGGTGGAGCTGAGCTGCTGCAGTGTCATCAGCACCTCCTGCTGCAGCCGCTGCTGGTGCTCCTGCTGGCGTTCCAGGCAGCACTGCCGCTCCAGCACTGCATGCAGGGCCTGGCTCAGCTTCTGCACCTCCATCTGTACAGCATCCAGCTTCTCAGCAATGGCAGGGCAGCTGGGAGCAGTGGGGGGCACTGGTCCACCCCAAGCAAGGCTGTGATTTCCTGGACCCACAGAGTTTGGCAAGGCAGTCTGAGTACTGACATCTTTGACCTGGAATAGTGGGAGGCAGGAGAGAAGGGAATGTGAAGTATTATCAGCTGCTCGTTCAATGGCATTTAACAAGAGATTTATTCTGCACTTAGCTACAAAGCTCAGAGAAGAGCATCACCTTGCTGCAGACTTCTAGACCTCACCATGAGCTGCACTTCAGTCCCACCCAGCCCCTAAGCTGCTGCTCCATAGGAGCTCCTGGTGCACCATGTTGTTAGCACATGCTGATCCATCCTGGGTGAGTGCCGCTGAATGGCAGTGGGGCTGCCCATGCTGATGCCAGGCTTGTGTTTGCTCTCTGCAGGGACAGAAACAACATACTCTGGATTTTGCTTTATAGCCTTGGGTGGCTGGAAGAACCTCCTGAGATGGTATTGACACCAAGCCTTAAAAAGAGGTTTGTGACCTGCTGGTTGGAGGCCAAGCCTGGCATGACTGGCATCTCCATGGCCAGCAGTGAGTGCTGGCTGGAGGTGGGGGGGGGGCGCATGGCCTCACCCCCACCCAGAGGGGCTTCCCAGATATATTTGCCAAGTGCCAGGGTTAGCATTGCTGGGGAGTGCAGCTAGCAGAGGTTGGGGACACTCTGGGAGCCTTTCATCCCCACAAGCCTACCCCACCACATGGTGTAAATGCAGCAGGGTTCTGTGCAGGGCTGGCCTGATGGCAGCAGCTCCTGGCTGGAGCACTGGGACTCTCCCATCCTGCCATCCTACCTTTTTCTGCAGGAGGATAGCCCTGTTCACTGTCTTCTTTTTCACCATCAGGGCTGAGTTCTGGGTCGAGGGTGTTACCAGCTGCGCTTGGCTGGACAGTGGCTGGGGCAGGGGGGCAAGACCCCCCAGAGCAGTCCCTGAAGCCAGGGCTGTGCCTGTGGAGCTATCATCACCTGCAACAATAGAGAGAGAAACACCTCAAAAAGAGGCCCTTGACGGGTCTCCAGTGGGGAATGGGGCCCTTTCATGAGCCCAGCAGTGCCAGGAAGTGGCCATGGTAAACCCCAGTGGGGCTAGGCCTTACCATTCGCAGGGGCCAGCTCCATAGCCAAAGTGTCCCCAAGATGCCCAGTGTCCTTGCAGAGTGAGGCCACACTGACAATCTGGATGCCTTCCTTGGTGTCCTGGCTGCCAGCACAGCAGGGTGCCCGGCTGCCCATAGGATCCCCAGTGGGCAGTGCAGGGTGCCGGGTGCCCAGCAGCCTGGGGGGCTCAGCCTCATGCCCCTGCTGTGGGGGCCAGGGCTGGTCCCCATCCCAGCCAGCTGCTGCTGACCCTGGTTCCACACTCTTCCTCTTGAGAAAGAGGTACACGGCCTGTGGCGTCACCCGGATGTCATCCAGCTCCAGCACCTTCTTGATCTTGCGGAAGCTCAGCCCAGCCCTGCGCAGCTCCACGATCCTCCTCTTGGCATGGTCATCCAGCCGGCCCATTGCTGCCAGAACTCCTCCTGCGCCCAGCACCTACATCCCTGGAGTGTGTCTGTGGTGGGGATGCTGGCACCCCCCAGGTAGCTCTATGCCCCGTGATGGTGCTCAGGCTCAGCTAGTGCCTTGCTGCCAGGCTGCTGGCTCTTGCTCTGCGTCCATGTGGTGCCATCCCCAGCAGTGACACGGTTCCCAGGTGGAAAGGGTGAAGGAGGTGGCTCTTCCCACCAGAATGAATATGGACAGCCCTTGCTCACGTGGAGCCCCTTTAGAAAGAGGGATCCAGCTTGGTCCCCCAGTCTGCCAAGGGTACAGAGGATGGTGATGGGCTTGGCTCTGCCCAGTGTCCTAAACTGGACATCAATCCCACCCTGCCAGCAGCACAGTGAGGAATCAGAAGCAGTCAGGATCTCAACCAGCAACTCAATGTCTCAGGAAGCCTGGAGAGAGTCCTGGCAAGTGACAATTCATCGCGCAAGGCTGGCAGGACCCCATTGTGTTTCCCTGGTGGCCCAGAAGGTCACAGCAAGAAGAACTGTAGAAAATCCATGTGCGAACTGCTGGTGCTGCAGACCCTATCCTTGGGTCTGGAGACAACACTGTCCTGTACCTTTGGGAGAAGCAAATGCAACCACTGATATGCTCATAAAGAAGGCACAACTATAAGTATAATATAAGCACTTCCTGTGCTTCCTCTCTCACACCAGGTACATGCCTATACTGCAGAGGAATATACCTATATATGTCTATACATGCACATGTATGTGTCTAAACGACTATGGTGGAGAATATTTTTCTACCAAATTCCTTAATCTGTAGGCATTTCTTGGGCCCTCAGCACTGCAACCACTCCCTAAAGGACATACTTTTAGGTTTTAGTTCACTAAAATCAGTATCTTCTAAGAATTCCCAGAAGGCAGCAAAACACTTCCAATTAAAGACTACCTCAAGTGGCTGCTGCCAAGCAGATGTGATATAAGAATCTTTTCAACACACACTTCCCAAGGTACACGTGGATCTTAAAAAAGACAGTAATGTTTTATGTTGGCCAAGAAAGCACAGAGACTATTGGACATCAGCCTCAGGGAGAAATTGAGTCACATAATTTGATAGAGGAGTTTTGCCCCTCTGCATCTTACTTGTTCTATGAGAAAAGGAAGACACATTAGTTACAGAGATGTAGGCTCTACTTTGATCCAGCTCTGTTTATGTCTAGAAGCCACCCCATGCCCTGCTTGTGTGTATTAGGGACCTTGTAGATAAGAGCTGAGGCAGGGGATATTGGAAAACAGACATCCTTGGATGCAGACAGTACAACTGCAGAGCAAGAACAAAAGGTCAGAAATTCTCAACCTTCTCCACATCAAAAGATGCTCCAAGGAGACCACCACCTTAAAGCTGCAAGTATGAGAAGCTTAAGCCCTGGAAATATACTCTGTCTCCAGACACAGGCAGAGGACACTGGAGTATCTGAGCAGCTGGTGACAGAAACATATCATTTACATAAATGTCAGGAAAGCCAACAGCCACAGCTGCAGCCTTCACCCAGCCTTCACAGGGAAGATGAGGAGACCACCTTGGAGGAGCACCAACTCCACACTACATCTCCTCCAGTTTCCTCTCCAATGAGTGTTGCTCTCTGTATATCATCCCCATGTCCCAAATCCGTCCTTCATCACATGCTCAACCCCTTCAGCCCTTCCCCAGCCTTCGACTGAGATCCTACCACCCTACCCTGCTTTCCTGGGCTTGGGAAAAGTTCACGGGAGGCACAGACCATCCCTGCCCCACTAACCCCACATAAACTCAGCATTCCCAATTGTGCTCCCTCAGAACCCTCCATTTGTTGGAGGAGCAGCAGGATGAGGAGTTTGGCCAGGATGGCTTCATGGCTATGGACAGGAGCTCCATGGAGATACCATCAATGCTCAAGGCTTCACTCAAGCTCCTTATCCTTCAAGAACAGCACTTGCCTCTTGCAGCAGGGCTTTTAAAAATATCTATTTATTGATCAGAGGTAGACCAAGACCTGAAAAGCTATTTCAGAGAAGATACTGCAAAGCAGGCTGGGGGTCAGAATCCAGCAGGTGAGCAGGAGATGCAGGAGGTAAGTGCAGACATTAAGCGCAGGTCAAAAACCATCTCCAACCCTGCTCACTTACACCTTGAGGGTGAACAAAGTGCACAACAGATATTCCACCCCTGTCAGGTAGGGGAAAAGGGTTACCAGTGAAAGCAATATGGGTCTATCCATAAAATACAGTATTCCAGCAACTTCCGCCAAGATTACAGAATAACAGAAATCAGCTAGGTTGGAAAAGACCTCTGAGTGCAACCTTTGATCAACACCTTGTCAATTAGACCATGGTACTGAGTGCCACATCCAGTCCTTTGTTAAACACCTCCAGGGATGGTGACTTCATCATGTGCCTGAGCAGCCCATTCCAATGCCTGACAACCCTTCCTGTGAAGAAATTTTTCCTGATGTCCAACCAGACTCCTCCCCTAGCTCAGCCTGAAGCTATGCCCTTGTCCTGTCACTAGTTCACAGGGAGAAGAAACCTTTCAGGTAGTTGTCGAGAGTGATAAGGTTACCCCTAGCCTCCTTATCTCCAGGTTAAACAACCCCAGCTCCCTCAGGCATTCCTCATAAGATTTACCCTCTAGACCCTTCCCCAGCTTCACTGCCATTCCCTGGACTCACTCCAGCATCTCATTATCTCTCCTGATTTGAGGAATCCAGAAGGCTTTGGGTGGGAAGGGACCTTAAAGCTCATCTTGTTCCACTGCTCTGGCATGGGCAGGGACACCTTCACTATCCCAGGTTCATCCAAGCGCCGTCCAACCTGGCTTTGAACATTTCCAGGGACAGCCACAGCTTCTCTGGACAGCCTGTGCCAGGGCCTCACCACCCTCACAGGGAAGACTTCCTAATATCTCATCTAAACCTACTCTCTGACAGTTTGAAGCCACTCCCCTTTGTCCCTTCCCTAGATGCCCTTGTAGAAAGTATCTCTTCATGTTCCTTGTAAGCTCCCTTCAACTATTGGAAGGCCAATTCAAAAGTCCCACAGTCAGCCCTTGCAACGGCCTGGCCTGGCCCCATCTCTACTTATAACTTTATTTATCCAGGTCTTGCTGCAAACTCACAGTTTTCCTGTACTAAATGTGCTCCCCAATTCCACACTGAGTCCATCACCTTCTCCTCCTTCTCCCTCTCCAGAGGGTATTTTCCCCAGGGAGCTGCAGCCTGTGCTGTGCACACACATTATCAACTTACACATTCACAAAAGAGTGAGATCTTTACACTCACCTGGCCCTCAAGGTGTTTGTTACTCTCCAATAACTTTTGCACAAGGAAAAACAAAAATCAATTCAATGAGAGGGAAAGATTCAAGGATTTTCCTAGACCTGTGACTGATGAGGTTCCCTTTGCTTTCCAGAACCAGGCTGAGAGCGACATGGTTCCTCTAATCGTTTCTTACACCACTCGAGAGAAGTTAATTGGTGTTTTTTCAGGAGGATGGGTAAAGGGAGCATATCTGTGTAAGAAAATTCACAGCAATTGTGTGAGCTCACCCTCTGCCTCTAACACTTTCCCTTTCTGTAGATATCACAAACACAGAGAGGATGCATCTCCTCCAGAAAATCCCGAAACAGTCTCATCTCAACTGATTCAATCTTTGCTATTTCTAAAATATAGCAGCACCACAAAGTTGGCTTGGCTGGCATTTCGATACAAAGACCAGGTGCTGTCTTTGTATTTGTGGCAATAAAAGTCCCCTGTTCTGAAATCCTGCTTGCCTCCGCCTCCCCGGCTGTCACACTGTGTTCCAGCCACAGCTGCAAGTCCTTTGGCAAATCCCACATTCTGCAGCCACAGATTAATCCCCTGCAAGCTGCAATGGCTTCTCATGGTATGGAAGTGTCTTCCCCCCCACACCCCTTGTATTTTGCAGTGGGATGAGGATCCCGGTGGGGGATGTGATGACTGGATCACTCAGTTTACTTCTTTCCAATCAGAGAGGGCTGTCATGCAGCACCACAGGCTACAAGTTTTCCCCTTTAGTGGGTTGGCTTCTGAGAACTTACAGAGTCAGAAGGACATACACATTTGCCTTGTTACACAACCACACCTGCAACAGGAATTTTACTCCAGCCTGCCAATTTAGGTGTCTGTCCAAATTTCAGATTAGCCACCCTTTCTTCAGCTGCTGCTGAATGCTTGCAATGCCTGAAGTTTTTATATACTTAGTTGTAGCTGAGAAACGTCCTTTACCCCAGTATTACTGCTGATAATGCTCTATTCCATAACTCTGCATGCAGCTATAGCCACAGAAAAACAGTCTAGAGCCTGGAGCAGCCTTCCGATTACCAGGATTGTTTCATTAGTTCCCATATGCTCTGGCCCAGATAATATTACATACAAAATGAAACAGCCTCAAGAGACGAGGAGAAAGAAGACAGCATGCTTCAGGCTTCCTTTCAGAGCAGAGTGTATTTAAGGTCTAAAAAAGAGGAAGAACATGAATTCAGGCTTCCTACAACTCAAATAATGTAACCACTAGCCTTAAGCCAAGCAGGCTCTTCCTCTGCACAGCTTGTTCCTGTGCTTGTGCAAGCCCCAACTCCAGGAGGTGAACCTGAGAGAGGACCTCCCCAGTGTCTATCCTGCAAGTCCTTGGGGTAGAGCTCCCTCACCTGCCTGCACTCACATCCACGCCAGCCACTGTCACCTGTCTCTCCCACAGTTCTTCTGAAGCCCTGATTACCTCTCTTTGAATGCCAGATTCCCCAAGAGTGAAACATTAGTTGTGTGACCATGGAGCTGGCTCAAGCCTGGGAAGATTAACTTGTCCCTTTTGTCTCACAGCTGCTCTGGACACAGGCAGTTTTTATCCTTGTGAGGTACAAGCAAAGCTGCTTCTAGAATTCATGCTGGGGTGAAGCAAGGAAGAGTTAATCCCTCAACAGTCATGGCACAGGTCGCTGTGCTGCCCTGGAGCTGCGTTTTCTCAATGGCTGTTTCAGCTGCAAGACAGCACACCCATGGCCAGCCTGGCCCAGAGATGGAATAGCCCTGGAGACATGGAGGCATGTATGTACAGATGATCTTAATCAGAGCAAAAAGCTCCCACCCACTATTTCAGGAGCAACAAAGTCATGAGGCAGCAGGTACAGAGGTGGAGCAACAGGTTTCACGAGAGAGACAAACTGCTGACGCTGAGAACAGATGTGGCTGAAGAGGAGGAAGCAGAGATGCAAAAGCTGGGACCCACAGGGAGCATGAAGATGCAGAGCAAGAAGATACAGCTTATTGTCTGGTCTCAACAATTGAAAACAGACACTTCAAGTTGTTAACAGCCCAAAGCATGTTGAGGTTAAAGGCTTGCTGTGCTGCACAGAGTGCAAAATACTCCTGCCCTAAAGCGGTCCATGTCAGATAATGAAGAACAAAGTTGGATGTGGCTATGTCTCTCCTTTCAGTGCTCTTTGTACAGTGCAAGGCCAGTTTACCAAGGCATGGGAAACGGTTTGCCTCATTAACAATGGATGCAATGTTGCCAAAAGGGGATTGATCCTCCTGGACCTTGTAAAGAGACACAAGCCAAATCTGTCAGATCTTGGGCCTTGTGATTAGGAACAGCTCGACAAGACTCTCTTGCCCCCACTTTCCTTTGTGTCTGATTTCCAGACCCCCTTCTCAGACCTCCAGCACAGCCTGGGAAGCTGGAGCAGCTGCAAGAAGCTGGGGAGGGATACTCATCCGTCTTGTTTAGTTTTGTTGCTTTCCTGTAGTGTTCTGAATAGCTGCTGCAAAACCTGACAAGGAAAGTCCTTTTTCACTCTGCATCAGCTTGGAGGGGACAAAATTATTAAAAACATCTCCCAGAAGCACAGGGAAGACAGTGCTGGGATTCAGATACAGATTCAGACAGCAAGAAGTGCATCAAGTAGAGCAAGGAATTGTGGAAGGAATGAGTCTACTAGGGATGGCCAAATCCCTGCAGAGAACTGTGCTCTGAACACAGTTGTGTTCATGGGCAGGACAATCCTCCACTGGGCTTCCTGCCATCCGGGTCCTGTTCCAGAGTCTGTCTGGCACACCTCACAAGGAACATGGATAGTTCTTTGCTATTCATGCAGAGAAAGTTTCACTGCAACAGGGACAGACTGGGAAGTCTCTGTGGAGATAAGTAATCAGAAAGGGCTCACAGAATTGCAGGATACCCCGAGATGAAAGTGACCCACAAGGATCATTGAGTCCGACTCCTGGCCCTGCACAGGACAACCTCAAGAATGGCAATGAGCTGGCCAAGGTGGTTCAGTGGAACTTAGCCCAGAAAAAGATGAACAGTATTAGGTGTCCAATGCTGCAATGTTGCCAAAGAGAAAGATCTGTGCCAGGGAAAAATGGTCATTTATCCTAGGCTGCAATTTTACTCAGTGCCACTGTTCTGTGGGATTTACCAAGCCTTATGGAACAATAACATTATCTAACAGCACTGAGTGTAGTGTACCTTACCCTTTCTTTGTAAAATTGGTGAACGAGCAGTTCTGTTACAGGTTTTCAAAAGGTGATGATGGATTGGATGAATTTAGACGCTGCTGCCACTACCTGAGCCATGCTAGCTCCCCTCTGAAGGGATAACCTCAGAAGATGATTTTAATCAAGTTGTACTTCAGACATCAGAATGGCAGAGAGAAAGGGTTGGGTCTGGCCCAGGATTTGAAGTGAGCTGTTTAGAGTCTGCAGCTCAGTTGGCTCTATCACCTACTCTGACAACTGCTTCATTCGTTTAGGCTGTGCTTTCAGAGCAGTTGAGGAGCCACCCCTACCCGGCCATACTTTAAAAATCAGATCCTTACATGGAAAACACAAAAATTTATGGTTCTACCTTAAGATTTGCAAATGTGAACACAGAAGAAAGTTGGATCTCCACAAGGTTTCTTTAACAATGTTGGGGGCTGCAGAAAAAAAAATTGTGAGTACAATGGTACACATAGTTTGCTCTTGCCTCAGACAATGCTACTACAGCCTGAAGCCATCGGGGAATAGGGTATAGAGATATGGTGGGAAGATAAAAGAGGAGTGTCTTGGGATGTTTAGGAGCACAGTATGACAACACTGTTAGTATTGTTAGTACTGTTACCTCACCTTTGAGAGGAAAAAGGGAACAGTATCAGGAATACTGGAAAATCCTCCCTTATTGGTGAAAGGGTCCCAGGCCACACACCACAGAGCAGAGACACGGTATAAAATCACACTTTGATAGCCTTGAACAAAAAGCTGGATCAACCCTCCCACAGCCCAAAATCCAGAGGTGACCCTCAACATTTTACAAACTCAGCATGGTTGTGATTCTGTATCTGGCAGAGGTTGGGTGTGTATTAAGAAATTATTTGGAGCATCCAAACATGCTATTAAGGTGGAACCACAGCTTGAAGGAATAAGATGCTTTCACAGAGCACCTGGAGGCCTTTGGGAGAGGAGCAGGTTAGATTTCACATTCTGGCTCCAAAATCTATCTTTGCCCTCACACTGAACAAATGCATCAAGGTGAACTTTAGTATTCAGACAAGAATAATAAATGCCAAGTATCACACTGTCCTGCCTCTACCTGTGCCTCTCTGTAAAGTGTTATGTACTTTGAGTCACTGCTCTCCACATACACAGTCCTTCCAGCAGAGCTGCACTGGCAATGCCACAAGCACACCTTGAATTTCTAGTCTTTTACACACCTGAAGAAGAAACAAATAAATCACTGCAAAGTGGAACATAGTATTTATTCCTTGTGGTGAAACCAGGACTAAATTTAGCATTAAGCAGGTATATTCCTAAAGCATTGGGACGGAAGAGTGTTGCAAGAATATGAACATCAAGGCACAGTTTTTAAGCTAAAAGCCCTGAAAGATACAAATGTATGCACTGACACATCCAGGGGCAGTCATGAAGTTCTAAACCTGTTCATGGCCTAGCTACCAGTGTGCACTGCAAGAATAGCCTTAGACCTCAAGAGAGTTCAGAAACTACTACAGATGGCTTAATAGACCTGTAAGTATTTCAACTAAATTGCTAAATTCACATCCTTCTGCAGATAAGAGGAAAATCCCAAATTTTCCTATTTTTGTTGTTCCAAATCTATGTAGCTACTCAACAAAGCAGCCATTGGAAACTCTCTCAACTCCCTGCAATGACAACGAAGGCTGTTTCTACACATTTGGATGAAAAGTTTCCAAGTCCTCTGAGGACAAATGCTCCACCCTGCAATTCCTCTAAGGAAGCCACACAAACTGTGCCCTCTGAAGTCACACACACATCTACCCCTACTCTCGTAGAAGTGCCATACTCTCATAGGGAGTGACAGACTGAACAGGGAGGCAGACCAAAGATCTCCCAGCACAGGAAAAACACCAGCATCCAGAGGCTGTGGGCTGAGCCAGTGCTGCAGTGCAACCCACACAAATGCTAAGCAATGCCTGCTACAGGGTGCTCACACCTCACGATGATAAAGGAATGCCAGTGTTGTGAGCAGAATGACCCACTGATCACCTGGATTTCCGGGGCCTCAAGGAGAGCTCTCTAGTCGCCACCACAACCCAAAGCCAATTAATAGGAAGGACAAATGAAGCGCCAGTTTCAAGTCGGCGCAACACACGGGACAAGCGCCCTCAGCCTCAGGCAGCGTTTAGAGACAATTATTCCCAACCCCACTGGCACCGGAGCAGAGCAGTTCACCTGCGGAGGTGGCTGGAAATAGTCTGTCCTCAGCAGAAGCCTGGGAGTGCAGGAGGGAGGGGAAAGAAAAGCACTAAAGTAAGAGCCAAAAGCAGCACTCACACAGCTCTGTTATTTCATCTCTTGCTCGTCCACCAACACATGGGCAGTATCTAAAGGAATCTGCACTTCGCTGGAAAATTGCTGGGCAGGCTTCTGAGTTCAGCTGGAGGACAGCACTCCTGATCGGGGGTGCCACTCCCAGCTCCGACACCGAACCTCAGCACCGCGCAGCCCCGAAACCCTGTCCTGCTGCACACTCCCTGTGCTGGCACCTCTGCCGGGAGTTCCTCTCATCCTTTCCCACGCCACTCCCAGCACCCAAACCAGCTCAATGCACAGAAGCAAATGGGCAGAGCACCCACGTACAGGGACTCCCGACGGCTGCCGGGGTCCTCTCAGGCGACGGCACCAACTCGCTGCCGCTTTCTCCGGTGGCCGGGACCAGCTAGGTGCCAGCGCAGCCCAGCTCTACCGCAGCCAACTTTCTGGGAAGCGACTGTTTGAAAACCTGCTGCCGTCTTTGTTTGGTTGGGGCAGAGCCAGCAAGGGCTGCCGGGAAGGTCACCCAGGAGGACACCGACGTAGAGGAAGGGCGGGGCCCTCCCGTAACCCTTTCGGGGCAGCCGCGCTCCGGGGCCGCCGGGAGCCGCGGCACCTTCGGGCACGGACCGGTCTGTACCGTCCCGGAGCACAGCCCAGGCGTGGCTGGTCACACCTGTGCCAGAGGATGGAGGACAAGCCTCACAGGAGGCAGCACTGCCGTCCCTACAGGTCCCCTTCAGCCCTGGAAGCACCAGCTCGATCCCTGCGGGGGATGGTGGCCGTGCTGTGCCAGCCGGGCTGCTGGCAGAGGGCAGAGGCCACAGCGGGGCCATTGCTCTGAAGCTGAAGCAGAAACGTGCTTTGAGCTATTCTCATCTCTGCTAGCGTTCCCACGTGAGATGTTAAAATGTCTCTCCTCGTTCAGGCTTGGCTTAAAGGCTCAGTCCTGCCAGCTGCTGGCAGCCCCTGTGAAATGAGCAGGGTCTATGCCTTTATTAATGTTAAGCTCTTTATTGAAAAGTCAGCTCGGCAGGGAGCTGGACAAGGAGCTCGCCCCCGCTATTGTAGCTTTTCCGCTAGCCGAAGGGCGAGCAGGCATGCAGAGTCTGTCCCTTGTCCCTGGAGTCTCCGTGGCACTCTGGTAGCTGGAGGTGAAGAGGTGTGCAGTCCGGTATCTGAAGTCCCAGCAGACTGTCCTCTCTCCTTTCCCCCTGGCACACTGGTAGGGAAGGGTGTGCAGAGCCTGCTGCCGATGCCCAGCAGCAGCTGTCTCTCTCCTTCCCGCTTGATAACCCCGTGAAGTGTGTGTCCTTTGCTCCTGCTTCCCACAGCCCAGTCCAGTCTGGTACTCTGTAGGGTATGGTGACAGGTCAAACACAGATTAGAGATGTGGTTCCCTTTTCCCCAACCAGCACACCCATCCAGCCCCCTCCACTGTGCCCAGCCTTCCATTTTAGGGGTGTTTTTCGTCCCCAAAAACCCCTCCCATGATTCCACTGGATTATTTTGCATCCCGGTCCTAGTGTGGGTGGGGTTGTAGGTGATTCCTAGGAGCAATTAGCTAATTAACATTTCAATGTCAGTACTTAGTTGGAGCCAAGTGTCCCAGCCAGGCTGTTTTGTTCATAACACCTGGAAGCAGATCACACCCCCCACACGCTGCCACCACCGTCCTGGGGCTCACAACTCTCCAGGACCCTGCTTCAGCTATAACAGCTAGCAGCAAACCTTTTTTTACAGTACTATTATTTTTCTGCTGGGTCAATGACCTTACCTGCCCACGTCTGGGGGATGAGAGTTGTTATGAGAATAAGGGTGTGCAGGACTTTGGGATCAGTTAGCCTTTATGGCTTTGCTATAACTGAGAGAGAAAAAAATGTTAAACACTGTGAATGCAGACAGGTGGGCATTGGGCTCTGCTCCTAGCGAACACGGGACAGGATGAGAAGAAATGGCCTCAAGTTGCACTAAGAGTGGTTTCCTTTGGATATGTTGTAAGTACATATTATATTGTTGGCTTCTCGCAAATATTAAGATGAATGCTATATGTATAATGTTAAAATAACCTTGCTTTTATTTCTGCTGTTAACAAAAACTTTGACATAGTAGTACTGGGAGCTGATACAGTTATGAGTGAACTGTCTGTTCAGTCGGGATAATATCCAATGAAGATGTCGTGAGGACCCTACTATTGATATGCCAACTACCAGCATCTGCCATCTGAAGAAAGTATGGACCAAAGCCCAAACTAGAAGTGATAAAGAGAGCAGACCAAAACCACAGCCAAGAAACATTCATGCTCTAAAAAGGCGGACCCAAAGAGGGGCCATGCAAAATAGTTCCTGGAATTGTTTATGGGAAACTAGTTTATGGAAAAATATGACTATGCATAAGAATCTATGAATATGCAACGGCTGATGCACTGAAAAGGTATTTAAGGGATATTTCCAAAGATAACAGTGTGCTCTTGCCTGAATGCTAAGCACCTGGCCGTTTTTAACCCTTTGCTTTATTTGGTCTCCTACTGTCTTTTTATTAAACTTTTAATTAAATTTTTATTAAACTTTAAATTAAAATTTTACCAGGAAAGTGAACCTTATTTTTCACAGATATTAGGGATATACTCCTTGCAGAATGGGTGGTCAGGCACTAGAAGAGGCTGCCCAGGACAGTGGTAGAATCGCCATCTCTGGAAGTGTTCAAAAAAATATGTAGATGTGGCATCTGGGGACATAGTTTAGTGGTGGCCTTGGCAGCACTGTGGGAATGGCATTGGAATTAGACTCAATGATCTTAGAGGACTTTTCCAACCTAAATGATTCCACGATTCTAAGCTCATCATGACAGTCTACAAAGAGTGCCCATTTGACATAATGCAGTTTCTCATTGAACCAATGTGAACTTTTAGTAGACTACAAAATTGCCTATGAGAGAAATCTGCCCTTAAACAAGATGTTGTGGACAGAAGAACAACTTCCTTTTTGCTTTCTTGGGGTTTTGTTTGAACCTGTTCCATGCCAGGTTTTATGTAATACCCCTTGGTTTTGCAGCAGAACAGAGAATAAGTCTGTTTTTCTTGTTACCACACACAAATTTAAAGATACCTGCCCTGGTCTTGCTCATGTCCTGTGATGGAGGTAGACAGGACATATCCTTCCACTGCATTCAAGAGGTGAAGCTTCCATCATTAGGAATTTAACAGACATGCCTGTGGCCATACACATAAGCTGATCGACACACTTGCTTCTTAGAAAGATCTGTCACGTTAAAGGCCTGTATTAGGGATGGGGTCAAAATACACTTCTGGCTTTGTTCCTCTCAAGTCAAAAGTCAGGCAGCCAATGTGGTGATGTCAGAGGTTCAGTGTCTTGCAGTGGCAAATTCCCTTTTAAGTTCACAGCAAACACATTTGGCAGGGATATCCGTCCCACATGACATGAAATATCACTGTATGGTGCTCCATCTTAAGTCTTTCATTCTCCTCTTCCCAATTTTCTTGCAGTTGAGAGGGCAAATCCCCTCACAGTAGTGCCATCCCTACACCCGCCACCACCTCAAATCAGAGTCTGTGCGCTGTGTGAACCTGAGGCAGGGTGGGCCGGGATTCACGTGCTGCCTGCTGGGTTGTCAGGCTTTTAAAACCCAGAGCTAAAGCCCAAGCTGCTACTGTCACTACCAGGGCTATGCAGGACCAGGCCCCCAAGAACCTTTTTGCAGCGGCGGGGGCAGCAGCAGCCTCGCCCCCCCGCTCCTGTTCGCGTTAAACCCGTCCGCCCGTCCCGCCCCCGCTGTGACGTCATCACCGCGCGCGGCGCTTCTCCTTCCCGCCCGCCTGCGTCAATCTCGCGCGACGAGCGCGGAGCGGCGGCGGCGCTGAAGATGTGAGTGCGGGGCGGGGGATGCACCATCCGCGTCCATCCGGCCGGGCCGTGGCCTGACCGGCCCCTCCGCCGCGCGGGGCACCGCGGGGAGTGCGCTGGGGCTGCCGAGAGGCGATGGCGGCGCGAGGGTCGAGGATGGGGTCTCAGAGTCGTGGCCAGAGGCGGGGAGGGCAGGGGAGGGAGGGCCGGGGCGGGGCCGGCCGTGGAACCGGGCCCGGGTGTCGGCGGTGCCGCGGCCCGGCCTAGGGGGAGGAGCGTTGTGCGGGCCCGAGGGACGGGTTGCTGTGCTGATCTCGCGGCCCCCTGCCCCACGGGCGCCATACCGGACCCACGGCGGGCGGATCTGGATGCCCCGCGCTTCGCCGGCCGCAGAGCTGGGCCGAACGGCCGTAGTGGGCAGAGAAGTGCCGGGCGCCGAACCCTCTTCACACCTGGAATTCTGCCGGTTTGCAGCTGAAGACCTGGAGCAAACTGTCAGTAAAGAACTCGCCTATAGCCTTAAGGGAAGCCTGAGGGCAGCGACTTTGCTTCTTTTGCAGACAACTGCTGCTCTGAGTGCAGATTATGTCTCTAAAGCAGAAGTATGTGTGAGATGGACGTTTGGTTTGTGTAGATTGCAATTTAGACTTTCTGTTTTGGGGTGGATGCCCCTAAACCAGCTATTTTTTAGAGAGTGAGAGGTTTTTGATTGTAAAGATAAAGCATGTCGTTTAGAAATGCAGTGTTATGTAGCCTTGTGTGAAGACTGTGATTTATTCTTTCCTCATTTTCCACTGAATGCCTGAACTTGTGCAAGTGAAAATGCCCACAAGGTAGGGTGAGGTTTCCAACTAAAGTGAGTTTGGTCAGGGACATTCCTGAGAAAGGATTAAAACCACTGGTTAGTTTGGAGACTGCTTTAATGTAGCATTATTTGGTGAATATTCCAAAGCCATGTGGCTGATCTGCCTGCTAAGTGCCTGTCCTAAGGAGCAGTAAGCAGGGAAACCTGAAAGGAGATTGGAACCAGGTTGGGGTCAGGCTCTTCTCCCAGGCAATGGGCAACAGGACAAAAGGACACAGTCTTAAGATGCACTGGGAGGTTTAGATCAGATCAGACATCAGGAAGAATGTCTTCACAGAAAGGTCAGTTGGGCCCCTGGAAGGGGATGCCCAGGGAGGTTGTGGAGTCACCATCCCTGGAGGTGTTAATGGAAAGACTGGATGCAGCACTGAGTGCTCTGGTCTAGTTGACATGGTGGTGTTGGGTCAGAGATTGGACTTAATGGTCTCAGGTCTGTTCCAATGTCATTGATTCTGTGATTCTATTTCCTGCCTCAGCAGCAGGCTGGGTAACAGCAAACATGCTGGCCTTTATCTGTGTTTCCGTTTCCCTTCTCCCAGAAGGCATAAAACCAGATCTGACTCTTGAGCACTAGCAGATAGTTTTGTATGCTGATAACATTATGACTTTGATAGTCCACAGGTGCAGGAGGAACTGATGTGTAGGCAGAGATAAACCAAACTTGGCTATGGGATATTTAAAAGAAGAAAAATGGGCTATGGGTAACCTACTTGCAGCCTTCCAGTACCTGAAATGAACCTATAAGAAAGATGGAGTGAGACGTTTTACAAGGGCCCGGAGTGCCAGGAGAAGGGGGAATGGCTTCTCGCTGACAGAGGACAGGTTTATGTTAGAGATTAGAAGAAAATTCTTCCCTGTGAGGATGGTGAGGTCCTGACCCAGGATGCTCAGAGCAGCCCCATCTCTTGAAGTGTTCAAGGCCAGGTTGGAGCAACCTGGTGTAGCAAAGGCCATAGTTGGGGGGTTGGAAAGTGATGAGTTTTAAGGTTTATGCCATCCCAAACCAGTCAGTGATTCTGTGATTTTTATGAAAGGAAAAATCGTAGGTTCCTGGTTTCACATGACCAGAAAACCTGTCTGTTCTGTACCACCCAGCTGGGCTCATGCAGTGACTTTACGATCTGCATGCCCCTCAGACCTTGCACTGGAGAGTCACAGAGCTGGATAGAAATGTCCTAAAGCTGAGTGATATACACAGGTATGCTTGTCTTGGCTCCCTTTGTGATGCTTGTGGGACAGTCCATAACTGCTTTCTTCCTGCCGCTGGTGCTAGAGGAGACATTTCCTTTCCCAGCAGCTTCTGCCAGTGGCACATCTGTGGTGTGGGTTTCCTGTCCTCCATGTAGAAAGGCCATGGGTGTTTCTTGGTTTCTGCAGGAAGCTGGGTTTGTGAATAGTCATTTGTGTTGTTTCTTGCAGTTGGTGTATTAGGGAAAACTGTGAAGCTGAAAATCAGGAAAGCAAGTTTGGCTGTTCAGAAGTAATCTCTTCCCAACCATGCATTTAATTGCAATTCAGAGAATAAAGTAATTGCTAATCAGAAGCACAGAGGGAAAAAGATTGTTTGATGCTGTGAGCTGGAGAAGCTTTTTTCTTGTTCACTGAGTTTGCCTGTGATGCACATGGGGATGGAGATGTTTCCAACATCCTGCATTACAGTGCATATTTGGTGCTGCTACAGATAAGGCTGGCAGCTCCAACACACTTCTACTCATTCCCTGGATGTTTAATTCCTTGGTAGTTGGGAGTGTCACATTCCTTTAAAGGTTATTAAAATGTTAGAGGCTGATCTGTATTGCAGGTTTTAAATAATCCCCATGGAATAATCAAAATGCTACATGTTTATAGATGTTGCAGATTTTGTGATGGATGCAGCCTTATATGGTAGACATCTGGAAGTCAACTAATGCCCAGCATTTCAGTGCTAAATAGAGAGGTGTTAAATCTTTCTCCTTTTGGAGCTAGGGCAAAGAGGGAACTGGTTCTCTTAATCCAGGAGTTAGAAGTGAGATGTGAGACATGGGGCCCATTCTGTTGCTATGGATATCTCTGAAGGGGAAAAGGAGTTACTAGGATTGAAAAGGAAGAGTTTGCTAGAACTTCTTCTAAAGTGTTTGGAATTACCTAATGCTTTAACTCGGCAGTTTCATTGATCCTGAGTTACATTCAAAGTTCAGTGTTTTGTCTTGCAGTCCTGTTCTTTATTTGGGTGTGGGGCTTTTGTTGGCTATGTTGTTTTTTTTGTTTTTTTTTTAATTAAGTGATGCCTTCTGCAATTTGTTGTGAAAAGGGCTCCCTCACCAACCAAGCGCAAGGACAGGTCAGAAGAGAAATCGAAGGACCGGTCCAAGGATAAAGCAGCTGCTAAGGAATTGAGTGAAAAGGATCGTGGTCGGGACAAAACACGCAAAAGACGCAGTGCCTCCAGTGGGAGCAGCAGTACCAGGTGGGTACTCTTATGGGAATATCAAATGACAGCATTTTCAGTAATCAGTAGCTTTATTTGTGGTAGTCTTTGGCCTGTTGAAAGCTTGTGTTGTGTTAGTCACTGTGCAGTTTTCTCTAACTTAAGAGGGTTTATATTTTAGGTGTGAATTTCTTTGGTTCTCTGGTGAGCTGTGGAACTTCAGTCACAGTTACTCTCTGTAGTTGTCAGAAGTTTCTCAGACGTTATTTGTCTGGGTATTCCACTAATTTTTATTCTTCTCCCCCTTGAAACAGGTCCCGTTCCAGCTCAACTTCCAGCTCAGGGTCCAGTTCCAGCACTGGTTCTAGCAGTGGCTCAAGTTCCTCTTCTGCCTCGAGCCGCTCTGGGAGCTCCAGCACCTCACGCAGTTCAAGTTCAAGCAGCTCTTCTGGCTCTCCCAGTCCTTCTCGACGGAGACATGACAATAGGAGACGGTCCCGCTCCAAGTGAGTTTTACTTGTCTTCTAGAAATTGCCAGATGTCACGTTAATTCCATGTAGAATACAAGATTGTGATTAAAACAGATTGTTCTCTGAAGACTGTTTGCTTTCTCCATAACTTAGAGATGTGAATTTTGTTACAGTGAGTGGTCTCTGTTTCCTTAGAATTGAAACATACACCATGTAGGAACAGAGATTAAATATTTAATTTTTAAGAGTTTAAAGATTTTAAATGCTACATTTTTTAGAGGCGATTTTAATCAGTGTTTCCTTAGTAGTATGGGTCTAGATCAGAGCAAAGCTGTTCAATTCCTGTAAACTACAGCCACGACTAACAGAAAATTCAGGGCTAAAACCAGCATATATGTGTACATATTTATATTTATATTCTTATTTATGAAAAATAAAATAGGAAGGAGGGCAGAGGAAACCTCTGTAGGGGTAACATGAGAATCTAGCTATCTTAATGTCTGTACAGTTTTTCCTTTGCATAAGGCGATGAAGGCTGATAAAAATCTGCGTAAGGATGTGTGGGTTTTTAGTATCACTCAATTTATGGACTTTAAGTTTAGGAAGAAGCATAAAGATAAATTTTCCATGTACTGATTTTTTTTACAGATTAAAGTTTCATTCCAGATTTTTTTTTTTTTTTAACTGCAAAGGCATTGTGATATGCAGCTAATTTTAAATAGATTTGTTTTCATTTTTGGACCTCTGTAGTGAATGGAAGATACAGAAACACAAATTATTGAATCTGTTAATTTGCCTGATTGTGGTATTTATGTGATCTTTATGGCCTTATTTTGCCTCTCAGTTGTTAAGGCAAAGAATGTTTCTGTCTTTACAACTGGGAAATGCTTTAACTATGACAACAACTTCATAGAAGTGCTTGCCAAATTTTGTCTTTGTTATTCTAGTTGCAGTGAAGTTGAAAAGTTACAAAAAAAACGTTCTCAAATTTCAATAGATTCTAAAGCAAAAGCAGACAAGAAAAATGCAAATCCTGAGGTGTTTCTGAGTGGAACACCCTCACCACCACCCCAACACTGTAACTTCTTCAGGACAAAGATCCCCTTCAATAAAAATTGTACTTTTAATCATGTGATAATGACTGGCTTTAGATTTGTCCTGCATGTTCCCTGGAAACTGTAATTGTTTTCTGTTCTTCAAATCAGG